ATACTCGCTCGCCTCAGAAGAGAGGCAAGCAGACAGACAGGCAGCCTTGCTTGCCCTGGAACGGCGAGAGGTTTACAAGGGCATAACCGAGTAGGCAGGTCGCTCAGTGTAGAAAAGATATTGTACCATAGAGCTACGCACTGTCGTAGCGGAGACGGCGATAGTAGGGGAATGGAAGTGGATATCATTCATCACGAGCAGAACGCACTTCATGGGAGCCTCACACCCGGGACGATCCAGTGGGGGGTTTTTTGGTATTGTAGAAGGTGTTTGTTTGCCAGACTACGCAAGAAATCCGAGGGATATCTCTAAGATTCAGAAGCAGACCCCAGAAAAAGGCGAACAGCAGAAGCCCAAAGCAGAGAATTCGAGTATCCCTTTGCCAATAGAATCTCTCCCATAGACCGCAATATGCCGTTGAGGCTCTTGGTGTGAGAAAACATGCAATCCAGTATCAATAGACGCCCTCCCGCTTCCGAAGGCTCGAGAGAACCTCGTTGCAAAAGCACGCCACGACAGGCGCGAGGAACGCACCGCAAAGAGAGAAGAGACGACATCGCGACCGGGAAATAAAAGGAGAAACATGATCGTCAAGGTTTCGCAGGATGGTGTATTCGCAAATCGCCAATGGAAGTTCGCAAAACCGCTCGTTCTGCTTTTCATATCAACTCCCATTCTACCCCAATGCTGCCCTTCACTCCACCAGCAAGCAGGCCAGGTTCACCAGCTACTCCAGCAAGATCAAGTAGCATTTGACAATGAGACGAGGAGATTCGAGATCGAGGAAATCTAGGATTCGGTGGCTGGCGCAGCAGCTTTGGTCTCTGGCTCAGCGGCCTCAGTCTTAGTCTCTGGCTCAACTGCCTTCTCGGCCTCCTTTGGTGCCTCAGCTGGTGCAGCCTCGGGCTCTCCGCTATCCGACGAGGTCCAGAGGGTGAGGTTGTCTCGGAGGAGCTGCATGATGAGGGTGCTGTCACGGTAGGACTCCTCGGAGAGCGAGTCGAGCTCAGCAATAGCGTCATCGAAAGCTTGCTTGGCAAGGTGGCATGCACGGTCTGGGGAGTTCAAGATCTCGTAGTAGAAGACCGAGAAGTTGAGGGCCAAGCCAAGACGGATGGGGTGCGTTGGGGTGAGCTCGGTTTGGGCGACATCGGTAGCGTTCTGCGATCCAGTTAGAAACGCAAGGAGAACGATGTTTGGGAGCGGGTACTTTGTAAGCCTCGTGGGCAGCAGTGGCAGCAACCTTGCGCTTCTCACCAGAAGCAAACTCAGCCAAGTAACGGTGGTAGTCTCCCTTCCTGTCGAGAGACCGTTGTCAAAAAAAGCCTCAAAGTATTGAGCGCGCAACATGCGATAAAGACTTACATCTTGTGGTAGAAAACCTTGGACTCTCCAGACTCGGCCTTGGGAATCAGGGACTCGTCCAAGACATCAAGAACATCCTGGCAGACCTTCTCCAGTTCGGTCTCGATCTTTTGACGGTAGTCGCGGATGGTGGAGACATGCTTGTCGGTACCCTTGGACTCTTCCTTCTGCTCGATCGAGGAGATGATGCGCCACGAAGCACGTCTGGTTCCGACAACGTTTTTGTAGGCGACGGACAGCAGGTTTCGCTCGTCCACGGTAAGCTCTCCGCCCAACTGCGTCACGCGTCGTCAGTTTTCGCAATCCCGTCGGCCAGTATCAAGACTGTCGGCAGCAGGCGCGCAACGCATACCTTGGCAACCTCCTTCATGTATGTAACCATCTCATCGTAACGCTCGGCCTGCTCACAAAGTCTTGCGAGGAAGGTCTTGCTGCGGCGGGAGTTAGCCTCAGCATTAAATTGGCTCTCGGAATCGCGCTGTTGGGTTTGTTTCGTACCTTTCACGCTAGATAGGTGGATAGGAGTCAGCGGGTTGCCTCGCAGAGATGGAAGAAGCCCAGAGCGATAGTATAAACACGGTCGGGAAGACGAGTTAGGTATAGAGGGGGGTCGACACGGCAGCGCCGACGTAGTGAAGCGGATGCGGCAGGAGAGAGAGAAAACTTACTTCGGTAGTCATCTTTGCGGGTATTCAGTATGTGTTGGTAGAGCGGTGGATCGAAGATGGATGGAGGGGAAGTGGGAGGTGGATGGTGGATGGTGGTTGTTATGGTCGAAGATTTGGTTGACCGGGCTGTTTGAACTGAGGTTCGCGGTTCGAGGGTCTCGCTTTCGATAGAAGTCTCAGGGAATTTGTACGCTAAGGCGTCGGGCCCGGATTGTTTAAAGCAGCGAGCCAAGCTAGGTGACGACCAGCAAAGCAATCTTGACACAAGGTGAATAATGGAGTGTCTGCACCGACTTTGGCCAGACGACGAATGATACCGGGACTCGAGTATCTATTCACGCATTTACTTCACTCTCCTATCCTATGGGTCTTTTGATTTACCTTATCAGGTGTGCTGGGCCACAACCACTCCGAAGGTGCGAAGGTGAAAAGCCGACTGTTGCTATCTGGGTAACCATACCTGAGGCCGATCCGCCAGACCAGAATAGATTAAGGACAACCTCATGTCCGATTGTTTTATGCAGTTGAGAACAAAAGACTTCCTGTACCGTGGTCCCCAGCAGTCTCCGTACACCTTTCTCTAGGCAACTTTATTACGTTGTCGCCTTGTGCAAGCCGTGATCCAGCGTGCAAGATAGCAGCTATTATACATCTGTCTTAGGTCTATCATTTGTGTTCGTTCATGTTCTTCTGCCTTGTGGTAGTGGTGTTGTTGTTGCATGCGCTGGCATCGGCATCGGGCACTGGCACTGGCACTGGCACTGGCCAATGAAGCCTCATGGGAGGTCATCATTGCTATAAGTGATAACAAGTCATATCAACATACGTAGTACGTAGTATACTGCTGGCTACCTTGGAGAATAGGCTCAATTTGCATGGCACTTTCACAATTGCCTGGCTACCTGTTCGATTCTGGAGGGCAAGCAAATGTGTAGGTACCGGTACCGGTACCGGTACTTGAGTCGGGGACAGTCTACCGGTATGCCTGGCCCTTGCATTGGTACCTATTCCCAGATGATATGAGACAATCGCCAACATGCTGGTGCGACAACGAGATTACACGTGCCTCTCAAAACCCACAAAAGACTGTATCAAAACCCGGAACCGTCATCTTGCCTTCAGCCTTGAATCGGAATCGCAGTCAGCACTGACTTATCGGTACGGAGGACAATGTGGTCAAGAAAACGTGACGATCTTTCTGCAAGCAGCCAAGACCGCGCTTCAAGGGCGCTAGTACGGTTATTCCGGGCGCGATCCGGCAGCAACATCGAGAAGAGGACACTTCTAGATAGGGAGTGCGTGGGCGGGGAGAGTAGAGCTACCAAGCACCACTAAATGTTTGATGTATCTTGCCTCCCCGCTTCTTTGTCCAGGTCCACATTCGCTCTCAGCAGGCTTTACACATCTCGTCGTGATACCGGTAATTGCCACTTGTCCATTGGAAAGAACATTTGGCCTTACATGAGCGATCTTAAAAAAACTTGCCAGCCGCAATAACGGTACATCCAACCTGCAATTCATTGCCCCACGCTGCTCATCATGGAAAACGCATACGCCAGATCCACCTCGGACGTGTTGAGCTTTTTCTCGGTGTCCGAGACTCAAGGATTGACCGAGTCGCAAGTCGCAGCCTCAAGGGAAAAGCATGGTCGTAATGGTATGGCTACATTCTCCTTTGCGCCTGGCTGCTTTGCACGACTAACTCGCCCGCAGCGATCGCAGAAGATCCTCCGACTCCCATCTGGAAGCTGATCCTCGAACAATTCAAAGACCAGCTTGTCATAATCCTGCTAGGGTCTGCCGCCATTTCTTTCGTCCTAGCTCTTTTAGAAGAAGGTGAGGGCTGGACAGCTTTCGTTGACCCTGCGGTTGTGAGTCTGCCCCGCCATGAAATTTTCTACCACAAGCTCATATCGCTAGATTCTCACCATTCTGATCCTGAACGCCGTCGTTGGTGTATCCCAAGAAAGCAGCGCCGAAAAAGCTATTGCCGCCCTCCAAGAATACTCCGCGAACGAGGCCAAGGTTATCCGAGATGGCAAAATCACACGTATTCGAGCCGAGGAGCTGGTCCCTGGAGACATCATCTCAGTCTCTGTTGGAGACAGGATTCCCGCAGACTGCAGGTTGTTAGAAATCCAGAGCAACAGCTTCAACGTTGACCAGGCAATCCTCACCGGAGAGAGCGAGAGTGTTGGAAAGGATACCGCACCAGTCACCGATTCGAAAGCTGTGAAGCAGGATCAGATCAACATCCTGTTCTCCGGGACAACAGTGGTTACTGGACATGCTACTGCGATTGTTGCCCTGACTGGATCCTCCACGGCCATAGGAGACATTCATGAGAGCATCGCAGCTCAGATCTCGGAGCCCACGCCTTTGAAGCAAAAACTAAACGATTTTGGAGACACCTTGGCAAAGGTGATTTCGATCATTTGCATTGTTGTCTGGCTTATCAACATTCCTCATTTCAATGATCCATCTCACGGGAGCTGGGCAAAGGGCGCGATCTACTATCTCAAAATCGCGGTCTCTCTCGGTGTTGCAGCTATCCCCGAAGGTTTGGCTGTCGTCATCACCACATGTCTCGCTCTTGGTACCAGAAAGATGGCTGCCAAGAATGCGGTCGTCCGAAGCTTGCCTTCAGTCGAGACTCTTGGCAGTTGCAGTGTCATCTGTTCTGACAAGACCGGTACCCTAACCACCAACCAGATGAGTGTTAACAAAGTTGTCTACGTTAACGAGGCCGGCAACGATTTGGAGGAGCTAGATGTTGAGGGAACCACATTTGCTCCTCAGGGAAGCATCAAATCAAATGGCTCAGTCGTCTCCAATGTCGCATCTTCATCGAGCACTGTATTCCAAATGGCTGAAGTAGCAGCGCTCTGTAATGATGCCCAGCTCGCCTTTGACGCAAAAGCAGGTACTTACTCCAATGTTGGTGAGCCTACGGAAGGAGCCCTCCGCGTTCTTGTTGAAAAAATCGGTACCAAAGACGCTGCCCAAAACCAGAGGCGGGCGGGTGCCGCTGCGCAGGAAACTCTTCATCTTCACAGCTCCTGGTACGAGGCCAGAGCTCCTCGTCTTGCCACCTATGAATTTTCACGGGACAGGAAGAGCATGTCAGTTCTTGTCGGTGACAAGAGCCAGCAAAAGCTTCTCGTCAAGGGTGCTCCTGAGAGCATCATTGACCGCTGCACCCATACCTTGGTAGGAGCGAATGGCAAGAGGGTCCCCATGTCTAAGAGCCTTACGGATCTTCTCTTGAAGGAGGTCGTGGACTACGGAAACAGAGGTCTTCGTGTGATTGCTCTCGCCAGCGTTGAAGATGTTGCCTCGAACCCGCTTCTGAAGACTGCCAAGTCTACCGCTCAATACACCCAACTCGAACAAAACCTAACTCTCCTCGGTCTCGTTGGAATGCTTGACCCTCCCCGCCCAGAAGTTGCCGGATCCATCAGGAAGTGCAAGGAAGCCGGCATCAGAGTCATCGTTATTACTGGAGACAATCGCAACACCGCTGAGACCATCTGTCGCCAAATCGGCGTCTTTGGCGAATACGAAGATATCAAGGGCAAGTCCTACACTGGGCGCGAATTCGACAATCTCAGCGAAAACGAAAAACTGGAAGCTGCAAAGCGGGCATGTCTATTCTCCCGAGTTGAGCCAAGCCACAAGTCCAAGCTTGTCGATCTCCTCCAGTCAGCCGGAGAGGTCGTCGCCATGACTGGTGACGGTGTCAACGATGCCCCGGCCTTGAAGAAAGCCGATATTGGTGTCGCCATGGGATCTGGAACCGATGTTGCTAAGCTCGCCTCCGACATGGTTCTCGCCGACGACAACTTTGCAACCATCGAAGTCGCCATCGAGGAAGGCCGCTCCATCTACAACAACACCCAGCAATTCATCCGGTACCTGATCTCTTCCAACATCGGAGAAGTCGTGTCTATATTCCTGACTGCCGCCGTTGGCATGCCAGAAGCTCTGATCCCAGTCCAACTGCTCTGGGTGAACCTCGTTACTGATGGTCTCCCCGCCACCGCTCTCTCCTTTAACCCTCCCGATCACGACATCATGAGACGCGCTCCCAGAAAGCGTGACGAGCGCCTCATCGGCGGCTGGCTGTTCTTCCGCTATATGGTCATCGGCGTCTACGTCGGTCTCGCGACGGTCGCTGGCTACGCCTGGTGGTTCATGTACAACAGCGAAGGACCCCAGATCTCCTTCTACCAATTGTCTCACTTCCATCGCTGCCCAACCTCATTTCCGGAGCTTGGATGTAGCATGTTCTCTAATGACATGGCGAAGTCGGCTTCCACAGTCTCGCTGTCTATCTTGGTCGTGATCGAGATGCTCAACGCTATGAACGCCCTTTCGTCAAGCGAATCCCTCTTGACTCTCCCATTGTGGGATAACATGATGCTCGTGTACGCCATTTGTCTGTCGATGGCCTTGCATTTTGCACTTCTCTACACACCTATACTGCAGACCCTGTTCTCGATCTTACCCCTGAACTGGAATGAGTGGAAGGCTGTCTTGGTTATCAGTTCACCCGTCATGTAAGTCCGCACATCCCTCATTTTGCACATTCTTTTGAAAATGTAAATATGGCAGCTAACCGAACACTGCAGTTTCATTGACGAAGGACTGAAATTTGTCGAGAGACAGCTTTTCTCCCATACCACAGACGTCGCCCAGAAACCTAGAGCCAAGAAAGAGTAGTAGAGGCCGCATTATGGATACTCGGTTTCCACGCGAAAATGTAGACTAGATGGTAGATATAAAAGAATTGCATAATTGTACTACTCATGACCATTTGGACCTCCATCTCAGGGACCAATAAGGCGTAACATGTGTAGAATTCTGTAAAGGCTCGATTGCCAACCGTCGACTTCAGCGAGGAACTCGCTCCTATATCCATGCATGCGCCAATCAGGGGTGACACAATCGATGCTGACAACAGATCCCAATCCCCGGCCGGCTGAGAGCATATCAAAGGGAGACTGGTAATCTTCAGCCTCGCGAAAAATCTCACTGCCAAAATACCTTAAAGGCAGGTAGGGGGTCATTTCAGCGATCCCCACCTTCTATCACAAAAGACGGTCATTAGACCGTTTAAAATCAATCCTGTTTCTAGATCAGGAATAGCTCACTTTTTTTTGACCATCTTCGAGCTTTGGGCCGTCCTATGGGCCGTCTTTATAGCCGTCACCGGCCAGATTTTTAAAAACACGTTCATTAAGAAATCCGTCTTGAATATTTGAGATAGTCAAATGCTCGCTCGTTCTTAATGAAATACGATTAGAATACGAGAACCCTTTTGCTAATAGTATCGTTTTAATGAAAGTTTAATGAAATCGATGCTTGGATATTTCTCGGTATCACTAGTATAGCTTCTATATCAAAAGTTTATGAGATTTAAAATCGAGACCGGTTGATTCGATGAAAGATTGCTTTATTCTCGCTTCTTATTACGAATGTTACGTAGCGACGGCGGTAGATGAAAGGAAGTGGGGGTACCGGTACCTAGTAAGGGAGAGGATAAGGCAAAAGCTAAGGGCCAAGGTATCTGCTTACTAATTTAAGTTCTCGAGTACGGTTTGAAGTTCGGGGACGGCTTTAAGACGGTCTCAAATCGGTCTTAAAACGATCGAGGACGGTCTTTCAACGGAAAGACGAGCTTTTATAGTAGATGGTTTAATTGATTAAGATGGATCCATTTTAGCTACGATTTAGATGATTGAAATCGTTTCTTTTCGGATTCTATTCAATCTCAAGTATCGGCTTAAGGTGATCTATTAACTATGGCAACCTCTCAATATCGTCTCTTAAAGAGAGCGTGACCGGACTGTCAGCTGGCGGTTTAAGTAACCCCTTACCTGCCTTTAAGATAGGGATATCCCAACCAAAAGCAAAATTTCGGAGTCTGACCTTCGTCGCAGTTGACAAATACACAGCGAAGCTTCCAGAAAGTACACCTTTTCTTTACAGTACCTACCGGTAGCATGTTCCGCTTTTCCTGTATTATACGCAAGCGATGTGATTGGTCGGGAGCGCGCTCGGCCTTTTGTGGGCCGAGTGCTGTTATCGAGTTCTAGGATTGGGATCCCGAAAATATATCTTAGATAGCTATTCGCCATCTCTTGCTTCATCTTCGACACGAATTTCGCCCCTCTCCGCCTCCTCTTCAGACCTCCCTATTGCTTCTAAATTCTCTCTCCAACATCTGTGAAATCTGTTTCTGTCTTTAGAAACTGCCACAATCAACCTCCAAAGATTAATACCCTCACCATGGCGTCTGCAGCTCGTGGCGTTGCCCGCGCGGCCTTCAAGTCAACCCCATCGACTTCTGCATTCAAGACCTCAACCCGCAACACAGTCTTCGCCCTCCCACGCCAGACCTTCCGACACCAATCCCGCCGTGGCTATGCCTCCGCACCTGAAAAGTCCTCTTCCGGTCTCCTCATCGGCGTAGGGGCTCTCGCTGTCGCGGGTGGCGCCGGTTTCTACTTCTACAACAACGGCACTCTGCTCTCTGGCTCCGCCGGCGAGACACCCGGCCTTTTCGCCCCCAAGCTCGAGGATTACCAGAAGGTGTACAACGAGGTGGCTGCGCGTCTGGAGGAGAAGGACGACTACGATGATGGATCGTACGGACCGGTTCTGGTGAGACTGGCGTGGCACGCGAGCGGTACCTTCGACAAGGAGACGGGGACTGGAGGGTCGAACGGTGCCACGATGCGTTTTGCTCCCGAGGGAGACCATGGTGCCAATGCTGGGTTGGTCGCTGCCCGCGACTTTCTCGAGCCAGTGAAGCGTAAGTTCGAACTCCTGTCAAGGAGATGTCAAGGAGCTAATGGTTCGTCTGCAGAGAAATTCCCATGGATCTCCTACTCCGACCTCTGGATCCTCTCCGGCATCTGCGCTATCCAAGAGATGCAGGGTCCTACCATCCCATTCCGCCCCGGCCGTTCGGACAAGGACATTTCTGCTTGCACACCCGACGGACGTCTGCCTGACGCTTCGCAAGGAAACAAGCATCTGAGAGATATCTTTTACCGAATGGGTTTCAACGACCAGGAGATCGTCGCGCTGAGCGGCGCACATGCCCTTGGCCGATGCCACACTGATCGTTCTGGGTTTTCTGGTCCCTGGACGTTCTCGCCAACCGTCGTTACAAACGATTACTACACGCTGTTGCTGAACGAGAAGTGGCAGTGGAAGAAGTGGGATGGTCCTAAGCAGGTAAGCACTTTTCATTTGAACGGTCGAGGAAGTGAGACGGGCACTGACGCATCCACAGCTCGAGGACAAGAAGACCAAGTCCCTGATGATGCTCCCCACCGACGTCGCCCTTGTCTCCGACAAGCAGTTCAAGCAATGGGTCGAGAAGTACGCCAAGGACAACGACCTCTTCTTCAGGGACTTCTCGGCCGTCATCGCCAAGCTGTTTGAGCTGGGTGTTCCGTTCGCCGAGAATGCTGAGAAGTACATTCTCAAGCCTACCAACGCCTAGATGGCAGCTCGCACTGGATGGAGATGATACCCGTAGATTGCGATGGCTTGCTAGATTCTGGGGCTTAGAGATTTCCGAGATGTGATTAGATCGTAGACAGACTCCTCTTATCTCCCCTGTGCCTCTGTGTGACATTTGCCGATTCGAGCCGAGGCGAGGCGAAGAGGCTCTATGTGTAAGATAACGCAGGTACCTACATAGCAGCGATTATGATTGATCATAAGAATAGAAGGAAGAAATAATGCCGACTCGTCTCACTCCCCCACCGATTGCTATCACTCTTTGGAGAGAAGAGATATCCGCTGATAGTGAATTGGCTCTCTCTCTCTCTCACTCACTCCCCTTTTCTCCAGTCCGTTCCTCGATAGGTCGATGACGAGAACAAGTACGTACCGTCATACCTACCGTTATATGTACGACAATACCATCCGTGCCTCCGTGCCATGCAATCCTCCGAGAAAGAAAGACTCTACTTCCACCTCCTTCTCCTTCTCCTTCTCCTTCCCCACACCCAACTCGACTCGACTCGACTCGACCCGAACCCCAGCCCTCTTTCCTATTACGGCAGCATGCGGCATTCACCACGGCGGAGAAGAAAAAAAAGAGAAGGAGAGAAGGAGAGGGGGGGGGGGGGGAACAGAAAGAGAATATGAAAGATAGAGGGAATGAAAAGATAGAGGGAATGAAAGCAAGAGAGGGAAAAGCATATTCCTTTACTTCCCTTTCTCTCCCCGAACTTCTCGTTGAGCAAGCAAGCAAGCAAGTCAGTCTCCTCTTTCCGTCGTGTTGTTGCGTTGCAACGCAAGTACCAACCGACTCGTGAGTAGCCAGCTAGCCAGCCACCGTGATGACGCCCAACCAAAAGGGGGTTGGTTAATTGGAGAGGTAGATGGATGACTGGATGAACTTGCAGAGCCACGTCAGGAAACAGAAAAGACGATGGAGATTTGGAACCTGGCGGCTTTTACATTATCATCACCTAACCGCGCCCCCCCCCCGCGCGCGCGCTCAACCTCATCAACCGCTCCACAGAGTATCTGCAGCCTCCCACGCACAACTATGAACCCGCTCCAACCCATCTATCAGGTACCATCCATCTAGCAATTCCGCCACCGATAGCCACTGAAAGCCAGAAAGGTCTCATCTATCTTCGACTCCTGCCCACAACCGCAACCGCAACCATAAATGCCCCTCTTGCTCAAGCAGAAGCAGGAGCTAGGGCTAAGCTCCCACCCAAACTCACGCTCGGCGTCTGACAGCTCGTGCCGACGCCGAGCGGCACCCCCGCGGGACTGGGATAGCAGTAGGTGCCTACGTACACGGTACCCTTTAGGTATTGTTGCTGGTGTTGTTCGTTCTTCTTCTCAACCTTGTCGATGCTGTTGGCTTTCTCCTTGGTGGTCCTGTTGGTGGTGTCAGTATTGGTGTTGGTGTTGGTGTTGGTATTGGTATGGGGTAGGTGTAGCTGTGGGAGTAGGGGTGGGAAGTGAGGAGTGAAAAGTGAGCATGAAAAGAAAGAAAGGAAAGGAAAGGAAAGGAGAGAAAGAAAGAGAAGAAAGAAAAAGCATACCCATCCACACACTGCACGCCGCTATCGTCGTCGTACGTCTCAAAAACAGTGAGGACGCTTTCCGTGAACAGGAAGCTGATGTTCTTATTGCTGCACAGAACCGGGGCGTCGAAGGTGGTCGTCTCGATGCTGCCCTTCAGCAGACAGGTGGCGGACTGGAGGCCGACGTCGTCACTTTTGTTTCCACCCTTGGGGTTAGCATCTATATGACTTTGGTCTATGTCTCTGTTTGTTTGGGGCAGGTGCGGATTGGTTCGCTGGGGCGCTTTTTTCACGGCTGAGGTGGGAAGGGAGGAGGGAGAGAGGGAGAGAAGGAGAGAGGAAACTGACGAGTAGAAAAACGAGATTTGAGCCGGCGTAGTGTTGGCGCCCGAGGGCGTGAAGGTCGAGAAGCGACTTATGGTGAAGGAGGTCGGGGCGGAGCGGAGGGAGCAGCTGGGGGAGCGGGAGAGGTCTTTGCTGCTGCTGCTGGTTGGGAGGGCGGTAGTGAGGCCCTGGAGAAGAAGGAGGACTGAGGTGAGGAAGTGTAGAGGTGCCATTTTGCGGATCGATGTGAGGGAGTTGGAATGAATGGATGGATGAGAAGCTGGAAGATCCAAGTCGAAGTTGAAAATAGCGAATGTGTGGTCTGAGGTCGAAGCTTGTCAGTTTGAAAGGGAAGGAAGAACGATGGAGGAGGAGGACGAGGCTCGGTCTCTGTATATACTCCCGGCCCGAACTCGTCACTCGCTACATATTTTTTTCACCATCTGGCAATTTCTGACTCGTATAACTGTACTATAATCTTTGTTCCCGCTACCATTTTCACGCTACCAAGTTCTGATTTGGTAGCCGTGTTGGTAAATAATTTATGGTGGAGAACGGATTCTTCTCCGAGATGGCGGTACAGAGAAGTGGCACCGGGAGTCAAGTTCATTGAAGCAGAAAGAAAAGACGTACCAGCAGTTACAGCTCGCTAGCTCGGCGATGAAAGAGTGATTACAACAACTGAGAGGTGATATTATGAGATGGGGGAATCGTACGGTGCTGAATAAAGATCTTGCGGAAAGGTGTATGAAGGCGGCAGTATGAAAGAGAAATGAATGTCGCGGAACTGGTGAGATTCTTATATTTATACATTCATCCACAAGGCGGCCCTCATCTGACGGTAGGGGTGGTGCAGCACAACAGCCTCGTAATTCGTACTAAATATATCCTACCGTAAGCAGAGATACGGCCTGTACCACTGTTTCTGTTCTTTCTTCGGCTGACGAAAGAACAGCGTATTCGGGACTCGATTGCAGCGAGGTTGCCTCTGGACGCAACAGCCACCACTTCATATACTTCACCATGTGCTGGTGCACTATTGACCGTTACGTTCCAGCGTGGTCACTTAGCACCTACCGGTGACGCTGGTCTGGACTCTGGAGAATTTCAAACATGACGTGATATGAAAGTACAATCAGAAATATGGGAGTTCAACAACCCGCGGGATTATTTACGTGATGTGTAAGCGAGGTTACTCCCTCACGCTCATCACGAGTGCTGTCAAGGTATGCAGGACATCAAAACAGACAATTGGCAACAAAAATAGGTATACGAAAATATAAATCGTAAATTTAAAGACGGCTTCCCGCGCAAGACAGAGTAGCAATGTGCCGGGCCGTGCAGCCAATGGAGGGAGTAATATGCATGTATCGACAATGACTCTCTGACAGCACCAGCAGATGTCAGTCGACGACGTTCGAAACACCGGATTTTTAAACAAGTAAATTCATAGGCAATGTTGCTCTAGCCTACGGGTGAAGGGGGCAATTCCTTGTACGTTTCGTAGGTGGCGAGTGGTCCGTAAGCTGGACTATACGGTGTTGTACAGCCTTCATGCTCCACGAAACTGGCGGTCTGAAGAAGATATATGAAAAGGCAACTTGCACAAGAATGATTCCTGCCATTCCATTAGACCGACCGTAACACTCCAGTCAGGATACCGCCTCTCGGGTGGCCGCGGATTGGCTTCGGCCGCAATCTGATTGCAGTATCGGAATTCTGTCTTTTGTAATGGCCGACCAAGACTTACAAAATTTTCGAGAAATTTTCAGGGCACCTCCACGGAGGATTTTTTTCGCCAAGTACTGTTCTTCATCTCTCTCGCTGAATAATGTCACCTCTCTCTAGTGGCCTGGTTCCATCGTTCAAGACCATTGCCTCCCGATGCCTCCTCCGGATATGATCCTCCTCGGAGTTCTGATCTCGCCGTCGCCTATTGTCCACAGACATCCCATTGGAATCCTCCCCTGCTGTACCCTCTCCATTGATCATGCGAACGTCCGTAGTGAGGTTCGGAGCCTTCAAGATTGCCCGGGGTAATAGTCCAGCACTGACCAACTGCTTCAATCCAGCATGGTCTTGAAACAATTGTTTCGAGAGCTCATGCAGACGTTGATTACCATGCAATGAGTTTGTAAAACACATCATGCGGTCTGACTCGTGATCTGCCCAAGGCTCTTTGGCAAGCCAGCGCTCGACAAAGCGTGATTTAACCAGGCCTCCAGGCCCGAAGTTTTCCACGAGTTGAAGGAGGATCAACAGACAGCCTTGCTCAGCAACATCCCGCAGGTACCAGTTATCCCACTCCGGGTCATAGGTATTGTGTGGATAGTCCGTGATTGAGTACTCTAGCGACTTGACTAGAGCTACCCAAGCTTCGGGTTTGTTGATCATTGCGACGGTTGCTAGCCAGAATCAGCGCTTGAGCCGATGGGATATGTGTGATGGTACTAACAATGGTTCATCATTATCGTCAAGGCTCTGATGCCCTTCTCTCTTAATTCATGCTCTGGCCGAGTAATATACCAAAGCAGCGCGTTAACAGCGTTTTGGTCATGAAGCGCTCGTTCGCAGACAATGATTGAGGTGGTTTCTTGGATACAGTAGCTCGGGCTGTCCAGTAATTTGCTCAAGGTTGTGAGCTTCAGAGAGTCCTCCACATCTTGCGTTATGTATTGAGGCTTGTTCTCAGACGGACGTATAGCGGCAGCTTCGCGGTAATGAATCAGCATCCGTCGCATTACTCCGATAATCGCGCAGGTTGCAACCCCGAGCCCCAGGATCGCGAGTCTATCTCGGCCGGCGGGCAGAAGCGCCGCCATGTTGCGAAACTACATGTGGATATGGTGAAAGTAAAAGTTGAAATCATAGCTGGCCGCCTGAAAGATGCGACTTTCATAGCTCCGATGCGTATTGCCGCTCGTGTCCGCTTAGGCTAGCCCTCTCTCAGCGATACTTTTCGCGATAACCGATAAGTAAAAAAATATATTCACGTCGACGTCAATGCATCTCACTGTTCCACCACAAGATGCCTCCCTCCCAGCTGAAGAGGCTGAAAGCCTCCCTCAGAGAGCAAGGAATTACTGGCCCACAGCAATCGAAGAAGCAAAAGAAGCAAAATGCGCAGAATGGGGTCAACAAGGAGAAGAAGGTGGGGAGGAATGTTACCCTGACAGGAATTCGGGAACAGTTCAACCCTTTCGACTTTACCACTATCAAAAAGGCCAAATTCGACGTGACGACCGAACATTCGCACAAGCCTGTTTTAAGAAGGCCAGGCCTGCAAAAGAGCAGAGATGAGGAAATGCGCCGCGAAGCCTACATCGAGGAGCAACAGAATCGACGCAAGGTTGGAGGCATATTGGACAAGCGATTTGGGGAGAATGATCCCAGCATGGCGCCCGAGGAGAAGATGCTGGAAAGATTCACGAAGGAGAAGCAGTTCAAGTATAAGAATAGCTCGGCTTTCGATTTGGAGGACGACGAGGGAGGAGAGCTCATGCACATGGGGAACTCGCTTTCTCTCGATGGACCTGCGCTGCAAGACGACTACAAGGAATTTGATTTGGACTTATCAGATGCCGAAGACCACCCTTCGGATGAGGAGCGTCAACTGAAACGAAGTCGATCAGATCTCGAAGGCGAGGATGAGGGCGAGGATGGAGAGGGTCGCCCAGAGCGAAAGAAGTCCAAGCAGGAAGTCATGAAGGAACTTATAGCCAAATCCAAGCTGCACAAATACGACAGACAGACAGCAAAAGATGAAGACGAGGACGCGCGAGAGGAATTGGACAAAGAGATGTCAAACATTCATGATCTTTTGCGAGGAATTGGAAGAAAGCCTGCGCCCCCACCTGCTGCTGCAATACCCGGCATGAATGCAGACCGTGCGGCTTTGCTTGCTGGCTCGGACAAGATCAAATTTGACAAACAGTACGATCAACGATTGAGACAATTGGCACAGGATGCCCGAGCTGCGCCCACAGAGAAGTCGAAGACGGAAGAAGAGGTCGTCAGTGAGAGAGCGAGGATCTTACAGAAGTTGGAGGAGAAGAGGCTTCGTCGAATGCAAGGCGACGTAGTTAGTGACGAGGAAGATGGGAATGAAGACAAGAATACGAAGAATGCTGGTCCGGAGGATGAAGAGGCAGAGGACGACGACGATTTTGGGTTAGGCACCGGTATCAAAGTGCGGCCTTCTATGGCTGAACTGGGTGTTGAGGATGAGGACGACTTTCTGATCGACGATGGTTTGGTAGCCAGTGGCTCAGAACAGGATAATTCGGAAGACGAGGATGTGCATCATGTAGAGGAAGAGGGAGAGGACGAGTTCACCGCAGGGCTTCTTACCGCAGAAGAAGCCAAGAGACCGGAGTTCCTGACTGGTGCGAATGGCCCCGTCCACGAACTCGAGCTTCCTTCCCAGAATGGAGTAAGTGGAAACTTGGCCTTCAAGTTTGCTTGCCCCGAATCTCACCAGCAACTCCTCGCGGTTACGAAAGGGATTGACATTTTGGACATTCCAACCGTCATACAACGGATCAGAACCCTCTATCACCCCAAGCTCAATAGCGAGAACAAATCAAAGTTGGGGAACTTGTCCGTAGCTCTCGTGGACCACATCTCTTATCTAGCAAATCAAGAGGAACGGCCGCCCTTTTCTGTACTAGAAACCATCATCCGTCACATCCACTCTCTAGCAAAGATGTTCCCCGTGGAAATTGCGAATGCATTCCGCCATCACCTCGAAGACTGGAATACCTCTCGAGCACTCTCCCCAGTACCTGGAGATCTGGTCATCTTAACCGCCATTGGTTCGATATTTCCGACATCAGATCACTTCCATCAAGTCGTTACTCCGGCTATCTTGGGCATGGGCAAATATTTGGGACTCAAGATCCCTCAAAATCTGGCAGATTATGTTACTGGATCATATCTCTGTACGCTTTGTCTACAGTATCAACAATTGGCCAAACGGTTCGTTCCTGAAGTTATGAACTTTGTCGAGAACACCCTATGTGTTCTAGCCCCTGCGAAGATGTCAAAGTTTCCTGGCAGCTTCCCCTATCACGAGCCCAAAACCTCTTTTCGAATCGAAAACGCCCCCACGTCTGTCCGAAAGATCAAATTTTACGATTGTGTACCCGAAGACCACTCGGGGAGCGAGGGAGAATCACTCAAAGCCGCCTTGGTAGAAGCCAATCTGGGCTTGATTGATGCAGCGGCAAAGACCTGGGCTGGGAAAACCTCATTCACAGAAGTCTTCACACCTGCTCTCAAAATAACCCAACATCTCGCCAGCAAAAAGTGCCGCTACAAGCTCTCTAGCAGTACTCAAGTAACCCCCCCCCACTCCCCCTCTGTGTTTAATATCCCCCTCTGTATTTAATAGCAGCAAAGCACTAACCAAAAGTTCCAGGCACGCCTCCAAACCCTCACGATCAACCTCACAGACCACCTCTCCACTGCCCGCCTGACTCGCCGCCCCCTCGAACTGCACCACCACAAGCCCCTCGCTATCAAAACCTCGATCCCCAAATTCGAGGAAAATTTCAACCCAGAGCGGCACTACGACCCCGACCGCGAGCGTACCGAGCTGGCCAAGCTCAAGAAAGAGCACAAGCGCGAACGCAAGGGGACGATTCGGGAACTTCGCAAGGACGCGAAGATCCTGGCGAGTAGCAGTCTGCGCGAGAAGAAGGAGCGCGATGCGGCGTATGAGAAGAAGCAGAAGAGGTTGCTGGCGGAGATTCAGGGGGAGGAGGGCCACGAGAAGAAGGAGTACGAGAGGGAGAAGGCGTGGAGGAAGAAGAGCAAAAAGTGAAGTTGCGGAAAGAAGTAATCAGCTTGTGGGTATCCTGAATCAGGCGTTAAATCGTGGATAGAAGTATAAACCAGTTACCTAAAACCCTTTCTTTATTTTAGTTCAGGGCTTTTGTTGATGGTTTTCACTCGATGATCGGAAACCAGCCGCATGCCAACAAAGAGTTTATAGATCGTGCGTTAGTATTCAATAAGTACAATGATATCTAATAAGTCGCTCCTCGTCGGGCCGCCGTCGGGAAAAGCTATACGTGCTTTGTATAACCAAGTTCAGAGTTCATCGAATATTGGGTGTTCCGTTTCTTCTCAGCTAGGTATGTACGAAATTATTGGATTCCATACTTTAGCGAGGAGGTCCGCTTGACATTTTGCATGTCTATACAGAAAGTCTAGACTTGACCAACTCTGACAATTCGTCTATTCATCTGTCTACCTACAGAAGTTCCTACCGCCCGCCCGGGTCCTCCTGATACGCAAAAACCCTCCAAAACGCCGCTTCCATATCTGGTATCTCAATCCTCGGATCCATCACGTCCTGTTCCCCAAAAATCCGTCGCGAGAAGCCTGCCCTGGCCACCCATCCTCCGAAGCCCGCGCCTCTCAGATCAATCCCTTCACCACACTCCTAAAACACCCTCTAAATGCCGACCGCATGACTAAACACTTTCGCCGCCAACTGACTCAGTAGCTTCCCCTTGGCATCTTGTGGCAGCTCCTGAAAGACAGCATATACGCTCTTCCCCTTCGTGTCTCTCACGGCCCCCAGCCGATTCCCGGCCACAGCACCAGCGACCATGCCCCCAAAATTCGCTACGATGAAGCCCATCGCCGCCCCCGATAACCCGCCCACCATACTCCAAAACTTCCCCGTCGGCTGCCCCCCATTCTCAGACATCCCTTCCTCTCTCAGCATCTCTTCAAATACATCGCCAAACTGCTCGTTGTGAAACGTCTGCTCCTCCTCCTTACTCTTCGCTTTACTGCCGAATCCGAAGCTGCTCCACGGAAAGCCACCGGGGGTAGGGCCAGGGTCCGGGATGCTGCTGTCGTCGTCGGAGTCGAAGGCTGTGGAGGCCGTAGATGCGCCGGACCCGAAGCCGTGATATTTGCGGGCGGAGTCGTAGTCGGCGCGGCGAGTGGCATCCGAGAGGGTGTAATAGGCGTCGTTTATTAGTTGGAATTTGCGAGTGCGTTCGGCGCGCTCGGGAGAGTCGGAGGCGACGCGGTCCGGGTGGGTTTTGAGTGCGGCTCTGCGGGGTGGTCAGCTTTGTCTGGCAAGGTCGATAGTCTGATTGGTATGATATTGGCTGGGAGAGAGAAGAAGCAGGCGTACCGTTTGTACGCATCTCGAATCTGCTGCTGGCTTGCAGTTGAGGATATACCTAAGGCAGTATCTGTATTCAAGTTTAGCATGGTGTTGGTGTTGAGCAGGCTGAGGAAGCTATTTACAATAGTCGACAGGAAGTCCTGCCATATTGGCTGATTCTTTTTACTGATTCCTTTTTTTTTAAGATGGCAGATACTCTCAAAGAATTCCAGGACAGATTTTAAAGAGCTGAGGCAGTTAGTTGTTGGTGGTGTGGTTGTTGATGGTTGTGAAGGGGGAAGAGATTCCAGGTCAGGTCCAGGTCCTCGAAAGTCACCCACTTGACCAAACAATCGTGCGTCACTGTGGCGGTGCACTGTCTATCGCCGAGCCCCACTTCTCCGGTAAAGCCACATCTTCGATCCACTTTGCGCACCATCCCAAGACGGTAAAGCGCACAAGAGCCCCTGTCACCGCCGGGCCCTCACCGCCGGTCCACCACCATTTACTGGAGTGGCTGGGCATCACAAGCTATCCGTACCGACAGTTGCGATCTCTCCTTTTCAACTTCCGACAACACCAACTCCTATACCCCCCCTCCCACCCAAATACCGAGGCTCAATAGCTCTATCGCGTGTCGTGGCCACCAGAGGGCATAATATCCATACCCAATTGATCGATTCGACTTCAAAATATAAGACGGTGGAATACTTACAAGTAAGTACGAAGTATCCGTCGCGGATACCTCTGCGTCCAAGCTCAAGTCCAAGCTCAACAACTAGTGAAGCAGATTCACGTCTACAATTTGCCAGCAAAACCTGGGGAAACGCCAGCGTGTAATAAGTAAAACGAAAAGCAGACGAAGGAAAACACAACATGGGCTGGTTAGAGGGCATGTCCGAGCTGGGGATCGGCTCAACCACTGGGTCCCATCACCACCACCACAGCAGCAAGAGCAGGAGCAAGAGTGTTAAACACCAGTCACCGCGGGGCTCTGGCATCTTTGGCCTGGGCGATAGCAGGAGCGGGAAACACCACTCGTCGCCGCGTGGGTCGGGAATCTTTGGCCTGGGCGACAGCAAGAGTAGTAAACACCACTCGTCGCCGCGGGGGTCGGGGATCTTTGGCTTAGGTGATCACCATGGGAAGCACAACTCTTCGCGGTCAAGCTTCTTTGGATTTGGCGACAATTACGCGAAGCACAGCTCTTCGCGGTCAAGCTTCTTCGGTGCGTCTTTCCTTTCACCAAGAGAGCCGACATCTACCTATCTCGTCGTATAACCAGCTTTCACATCTTTCTTGCCCTACCTTAATTCTCCCGATTAGCTCGTGGTTGCAATGGCGACAGATGCAATATGGTGCAATGGACGGCCCAAAGAAGACGCATATCGCTAATGGATGAGCTGAGACGAACAGGCACCTCACACAATCACCGCTCCTCCTCCTCGGCCTACCGCCGCTCCCCCCGTACAGGCTTCATGCAGCGCATGTATAATAAACTGCGACGCCTGCTCCGTGATCTCGTCTACTACATGAAGAGGCACCCCATGAAAGTCTTTGTTCTGGTTATCCTGCCACTTATCACCGGCGGCGCCCTAGCTGCTCTGTTGGCCAAGTTCGGGATCCGGATGCCGGCCGGGCTGGAGAAGATGTTTTATCAGGCTGGGGGTAGTGGCAGTGGGGTGGGCGTCAACCATAGAGGAGAGACGCAGTGGGAGCGGAGACGAGTGGAGGGGAACTACCCGATAGGTGGTGGCGGTGGTGGTGCTGGAGGAGGTGGAGGGGGGATAGGCAATGCTTTGGGGGGATTGGGGAGTATCCTGGGGGGTATGGGAGGGGTGGGTGGTGCGGTTAGTCTGGCGAGGCTGTTCATGAAGTGAGGCTCGTATAGAGCCTCACATAAACGCGGACAATTGGAGGGGCTAGAGAGGTGGTGACCGTGGGGGGAAAAGAGCAGAGAGGAATAAAGACCAGAGGCAGGGAGTGTTCTGCAAAGAACGAGCTAACCAACAGGAGTTGGGCATCGGATTGGATGATCGGAGAAGCAATATGGATGTTGATCCGATATGGGGCTTCCTCAGGAAAGCAAGCAATGGGCGAGGCGCAGGCAAAGGCGTTATTTAGGATAGCACTAGATATGATATGATAGCATAAGCTAGGATAAGATAGGATAAACCCAGACCAGGTTTTTGTCTACCTAGGCTTCAGACAACCACCAGCACCACCACCACTACTATCAATAACAACTATAACAACCAACTACCTCCCACCCATCTTCTCCTTAAATTTTCAAAGATATCCTCAAACAAATAATCTACTAGTAAGAAAATCAATGGAGGATAAATGGATGGGAGCTCACGCCGTAGATAGCTGGCTGGCTAGGCTACATCTCGCTCGCTTAATCCCCCCATCCTCAGATACCTACCGGTACCTACTACGTGGATACCTACCTAGCTTTTGCTCGTGCCACCGTAACCGTGCGCCAAGACTGAGAGGTACGGTAGGTAATCGACAGCTTGCCTTATTACGTATTGGCTTGGCGCACGGTTGATACCATCCGTGCCACCCAGGACGGAGAAATCTACCGGTACCGGTATACCTACTGACTGTTAAGTACCGTACCGGTACCTACCTATGCCATGTATGTTATTATATTATGTGATGCTATAGCCTGGCGAAGCGATATACTCCGTAGATAGGCAGGCAGGCAGGCAAGCAAGCAGGCAAGCAAGCACCTTTCAGGATGGGTCCATCCTATCTAACCTGCCCACCTGCATTGTATTGTACATTCACATTATTGTTTCCACGTCGCCGTAGAGGACGAGCTGAAAGAATCATAGTGCAGAGCGATGCGAAGGAGAAAAAAACACTTCTCAACAAGGAAAATAGAGATGAGTAACTGGATTACCTAAGGATTTCTAGAGCATAACCATAAAAAACACATTGAAGAGACGTCAATCAACCACATCCACATCCACATCCACAATCACAATCACCGCTTCCCCTTTTTCTTCCCGCCAACCGGCTTCCTCGAAACGTGCTTTTCCTTTCCCCTTTCCCGCTCCCTATCGCGTTCAACCTCTCGTTCTTCTTCGACGAATACCTGCACCCCATTCCCCAAGTCATCGCTCTCGACTTCCTCCTCGCTGGAGCTATCCATGATGTCCGGCTCATACAAGCGTCTGCTCCGCAGATTCGGGTCGGAAGCTGGGGCGCGGCTATAGCTCGAAGTTACAGGCAGCGTGCGGCGAACGGAGGAGTACGTAACGTCTGCTGGACCCGAGAGGTTCATCCGCCCTTGAGACTGCGACTGGAGGTATTGGTGCGGTACAGGCGGTGGTGTGCCGGAAGAGACTTGGTATTCGAACGGGTCTACAATAAAGCCCTGAGATTGAGAGTGGCTAGAAGCGACGGATGAAGGGCGGGAGTTGGAAGGGTGCCAGTCTGCGTCGTCAGGTAATGGACGGCGAGAGCTGTTGCTGTAAGATGAAGCAGGCTGCATGCCATCTGAGAAGTGGCGGCCTTGGGTGAGGTTCAAGTAAGGCACGGTGTTGTTGCTATCGCGCAGCTGTTGGGTCGTTGCTGAGCGCGAGCTACGGGAAGTAGATTGAGGTTGGACTTGAGAAGGATATGTGCCGAGAGCAGTGTAGGCGAGGTGCTCGTCTGCGCCTGGTAAGAGCAAACCAGGTGGGTTGGCGGGAGAGTCTTCTGAGCGTGTGGATTTCCCCTTGCCCTTTTTATTGCTGTGAAGGCTGCTTGGCCGACCTACTGGTTCCGCAGCAGCGAGTGCAAGTGGGACTGAAATCCTGTCGCCCCGTCTTCGTTTCTCCTTATCGCTACCGCCACTTGAGCCGCTCCCTTTCTGTGCTTTGGCAGTTGCTGCTGCTTGCATACGCTTCCGTCGGTTCTCCAAAGCGTCCAGCTCATCCTGGTTAAGTTTGACTTCTCGCTTCCCCTTTTCCTGTGCACGCCGGATCCGAGCCAGCGCAGACTGCACTAACGCCTCCTCCTTGTCTCTCAAAGCAATCTGCACAGCGTCCGTCCCCGCGACCTCCGAATCCTCCGACTCAGAAGAATCCTCTGAATCCCCAAAAGCATAACTCCGTCTAGCCCGAGATGCCGAGGCCATATCGCCTCCTGTAAAATGAAGTGGATCGCTGTAAAACCTTTTCCCCCCAGAATTTTTCAACCCAACGCCTTGTGTATCAGTGTCATCGCTATCGAGCTCCTCCACGCGAGACTCGTCCCAAAACACTTGCTCAGCCTCCCACTGACGCCTCCTCCTGCTCCCCTTCGCCCCTGGTGGTCTTCCCCATGGGGGCATAGATTTGGGAGATCGCGGCCGACTACCTAGACCGCCTCCCCGGAAAAAGCCTCATCGATAGGTTTGTCCATAAACGAGGCGTGTCCTAGAATGCTGACTCCGCTTGCACCGATGAGCCAGAGGATGGTTGAGATTGGTGACGCGATGATGCCGAGGGGGACGGCAACGATTAGGAGACCAGTGTAGAGTTGAGACGAGGTTGCGTGAAATCCAAGGAGATTGAGGTCCTCGCCCCCCAGCTTGCCAATCCCCCACATGCCACCGATGACCAAGATGATGACGAACAGCAGCAGGAAGTTGGTGAGCAGGCTGTAGATGCTGAGCATAGTGAAGACGACGGCATAATTGCTGGAGAAGTAGCCCAGGTTGTAGTTGACGCGGGACTGGACCTCGGTGAAGTTTGCGGGTTTGGAGAGCCGTTTCAAGTCAAAGAATTCAGTGACGGGCTTCAAGTTTGCGAATCGGGCGCCCAGGGATTGAGATCGCACGCTGGCGAAGCGGTCGGAGAGGTTGAGGCGCGATGTGATCACATCGAGGGGGATTTGCATGCGAGACATCTTGATTGATGGTAGTGAGGGTGTATGTTGTGTTGTGCTGTTTTGTTTTGTGTTGGGAGAGGTTGTCCGAAGCTCATGTAATTCGAGGCAGGTGCGAATGCGATTTATTCTAGTCAACGAGGATGGGTATTTGTTCTTGTTCTTGATCTAGAGTGAAGGAATTTGTTGGGGTTGTCGGTCGTCGATACGATGAATAGCAGAAGTTTTCTGTGGTTTTTTTTTAGATTGGGGAGTTTCGAGATCTGTCAAAATAACAAACTTTATTTATCAGAAACAAATTCCGCGAACTCGTGGCCCCTGCAAGGCCTGCAAGGGAGCTTGGGGAAATATTTGCAGGGAGGGAAAAGGGGATCATGAACGAACCTGGCGTTGGAATTTTACGATGCTTGAAGCTTGAGGCAACGTAAGTGTCGAGGCGCAGAGGAGTATTGTCGGCTGAGAAACTGGAAGTCGGGAATGAAGGGATGGATGTTGTTGATGTTGCTGATGTTGTTGATGTTGTTGATGTCGTTGATGTCGTTGTGGAAGTCGAAATTGATGCCAAGAGGTGAATCTATCTCGGTCCCACTCAGACCCGTTGGTGGCGGCCTGAATTAACACCTGAAGATTGTGGCCATCCGCGTAAATGGGGGTGGATGGGACGGGATGGAACAGAACGGAATGCCAGCTGAGACAACTTGCCAGCTGAGACAACTTCAGCCTTGAGGTTGCGAAGGAGGAAGAGGAGAGTGAAGTAGGAAGAAGGAAAAGGGCGGGTTTTTGAAAGGCAAGGCAAGGCAAGGCAAGGAAAGCCAGCATAAGACGAGGCAAAACGTTTCAATGCTTTATACCCTTTCGTGCTTGCTTGCTGACTACTTACAGTAGCTAAAACTAAACTAAAGCATGAACAACAAGGCGAGGGCAGAGCTAGAGTAGAGCTTACCTACTACTGTACTAAGTAAGTACCTAAGTACCTACCGACTTACTCTTCTGGCCTTGAAATCCAGGCCCAAAGAAAAACCAGGCTAGCCCCCCCGAACAGCCTCGCTGGCTTCTCCGTGGGTGAAAGACTCAAGCACAAGAAAGCATTCTCAACTTCGATAAAAACACCACAAACCATATCCCCACACACCCATACACCATGAGGATTTCCCTCCTCACCGTGGGCATCCTGGCCTGCTTGACTGCATCCGTGGCTGCTTGGAGCAAGGAAGGTCAGTCCAGCTCAGCCAACTCAGCCAGCTCAGCCCAGCTTAATTCAATCCAATCCAACCCAATCCTCCCTCTGCTCGATCCACACCATGAACGTGTCCGTTTCTAACCCGCCAGTTCACAGATCAGGAAATTTTCCGTCTCCGCGATGAAGTCGAAGCCTCCGAAGGTCTTGGTGTCTCCTTCTACGATTTCCTAGGGATCGCCCCCTCGGCAAACCAAGAAGAAATCAACAAGGCCTACAAGAAAAAGTCTCGAACCCTGCATCCCGACAAGGTCAAGCAGCAATTCATTGCCAACAAGTCTGCCGCCAAGGATAAATCCAAGTCAGGAAAGTCCGGCGTGAAGGTCAACAAGGGCCCGACTCAAGCTGAGATCAAGGCCACTGCCAAAGCTGCCAGTGATCGGTTCGCGCGTCTCGGAATAGTGACCAACATCCTGCGTGGTGCTAGCCGAGAACGCTACGATCACTTCCTGAGCAATGGATTTCCCAAGTGGAAGGGTACCGGATACTATTATGCTCGATTCCGCCCTGGTCTTGGTTCCGTCCTCGTTGGGCTCTTCATCTTCGTTGGCGGTGGTGGCCACTGGCTTGCGCTCTACATGAGCTGGAAGAGACAACAGGACTTCGTGGGCCGATACATCAAGTTCGCACGCCATGCCGCGTGGGGTGATAATTTGGGCATACCCGGTGTGGACGGCACTGCTACTCCCCCGGTCACTGGGGACGAGAGCAGCGATCTCTCTGCTGCCCAGCCCATGAACAGAAAGATGCGCAGGATGCAAGAGAAGGGCGAGAAGAAGGAAAAGTCCGAAAAGAAGACCAAGAGCGCCAAAGCTGCCAAAGCCTCCCCAGCAGCTACCTCTTCTACGGCCCCAACCGGACCACGAAAGCGTGTCGTCGCCGAGAACGGCAAGATCTTGGTCGTAGACTCTACTGGAAACGTGTACCTCGAGCAGCAGGACGAGGATGGCCAGACCCAAGAGTTCCTGCTTGATGTACGTCCCTCTCCCCTCACCTCAATCTCATATCTCCCTCCTCACTAAAATAATCCAGCCCAACGAACTTGCCCAGCCAACCATCCGCGACACAGCGCTCTTCCGCGTCCCTTTGTGGATCATGCACAAAGCCACCTCCCGCTTCCTCGGCATGCCGTCGGAGGAGCCCGAGTCCGACATTGAAGACGAAGAGGGCCCGTCCAACAGCTCTGACGCCGATGACTACGAGGTCCTGGAGAAGAACAAGACAACGGCCCCGAACGGTGGTGGTAAAGCAGTTAGAAGAAAGAAGAGCGCCAAGGGGAGGTAGGTAGGTGGATCTGAGCTGGGGGGGGGGGTCTGTACGATGCTGGGTTTATCTGTACTATAAATAAAAGTCGGGGGATGGGCGAGGCAATTGTTATATGCTTCTACCTGTTTATCTGTCTACTTGGTGTAGAGGGAACTTGGTACAGGAAAAAGTAACCCATTAGTTAAATACATGTATATATGCATTCATATATATCCGATCATTCATCTACAAATCAATACCTCCTCTTCCCCTCGATCAGTGCTGCTAAGTCAATTTTTCTACGCCAGAATTGGTTAGTCTGTCAGTAGGTGGAGTGGGTCGTGCCCGGAAGCGGGAGAGAGCAGAAAGGAGATACCACGTCCCAGGCGTAAGTATCACCCCTCGAGGGTAGGGTAAGCAGGGGGTTTTAAAGTGAAAACTAGACCTTTGAGGCACCCTCGAGGGGTAATACTTAGGCCTGTACCGTGGTAGATAGGAGAAAGGGCCCCCCTTCCCCCTCGCCCCCCAAAAAATCGCCCCCCAAAAAAGGGGGGGGGGGGGTGGAGAGACGGGGGGCGACTGCTGAATTAAGCGAGCGAGACAACAGAGTGCACAACAAACCAACGACGAACAAACAACCAACCTCTCATGAAACGAACCAACGACCCCGGGACGTTTGGAGAAAGTGGGTGGTCAGATTGGCTAACTAGCTCTAGCTAGCTAGCTAGCTAGATAATCGACCTGCTTACTTACTTACTTACTGCGCCAAAACCTGCTATGAGCTCGGAAATGGCGGTTATTCTGGCTTGGGGTTTTGGATTGTGGATTGTTGGGTTGATGGGTTGATGGGTTGATGGGTTGATGGGTTGATTGATGGAAGTGAAGTGAAGTGAAGTGAAGTGAAGTCTGGGATAGGAAATAGGAAAGACTGAAGCCGAAACTAGCTTTTTTCCTCTCTCACTCGGTGGACATCGGGAGCCGTGTTGAAGAGGGAAGGGAGATGGTAGGGAGGGGGAGGGAGGGGGAGAGGGAGAGGGAAAGGAAAAGGAAAAGGAGAAGGAAAAGGAAAAGGAAAAGAAAAAGGAGAAGGAAAAAGAGAAAGAGAAAAGCGTAAATAAATACCACCACCACCCTCTCTCTACTTTATCTGTGCATGCGTACACACACACATATGGTAAAGTATAAGCCGAACAAGAGCCATATTACGGGCGTAATAAAAGAAGCTCAGCTCAGCTCAGCTCAAGGATCTATCGCTACTTCATTCCATTCACCACTTTTCTTCCTCGCCCTCGCTCTCTCCAACCGTCTCATCATCCGCCCTCGGCCCCGGTCCCGGCCCCGGATCGAACAAGTCCTCCACAATCTCCCGCATCTTGATCTCCGCCTCCATAAAGCTAAAGACGCGTCGATTCTCCACATGCATCAGGGTCGCCGCGTACTGCAGTACAGCTGCTGCTGCTGCTGCTGCTTGTCTCGGATGGCCCTGCATCTGACCTCGCACCTGACCAGGCATCGGCATCGACATCGGCATCGACACCGGTGCTAGGAAATTCTTCTTCGGTCCGGGCTGCGGCGACGATGCCCACGGATCCACGTGCTTAGAAGGCAACACCCGCTCCTCGCGATCGACCGTCTCCCCTCGCAGCACCAACTGCCACTCGACAATCCGTTTCCCACGACCGCTACCATCGCCACCACCACCACCACCACCACATATCCTGAGCCAGCGTTTCCGTTTCGTCGAAGCAGAAAGAGAAGGAGAAGCAGAAGCAACGGAAGAAGTTAAAGAAGGACAGGAAAAAGCAGAGATCCTCAGTCCATTCGTCCTCTCCCCCCGCAAGCCAACAACCTCCCACCTCCTGCGCACCGTCTCCCCAGAAGAAGCTCTCTCCCTCGCCTTAAGCAGCCTCTGAATCTCCCACGGCGAGCCCTCGTCCATGCGCAGCACGCGCTCAGCAGCCGACTTGCGCTCCCCCGGCATTCCCTCAGCAGCGCGCGCGTCTCGGATGCCGAAGACGGGACGGGCAGGACGTCGTAGGTGGCGGCGGAGTAAGCGTGTGTTGAGAGCAGCGGGAGCCCGAGCACGGAGGTGCGGGATTGGAACTCTTTCCTGGGCCGGTTACGGCGCAGGATCCAGGTCTCGTGGATGGAGTCGTCGATCGCTGCCACGCTACCAGTTATCAGCGGAGATACCGGGTGAGGCGTCTGGGGAAAGGGGACTGACCTGCATGCCAGGGCAGTGGAGCTGGCTGAGGAGTGACATCCTAGCTTCTCGTCGGAAATGATTTGCTGGGGCTCGGGATGGAAAGCCTGGGCTGCTAGAATGGGAGCGGCATTCAAGACTGAGGTGGGAACAGGAGGAGGGATAGCCGTGGGCACCACCACGCTGAAAGGCGGCATGACACCCACAACAACCTTCTCCGCCAAGCCCCTCATGCTCAACAGCCTAGGCTTATAGTCCTTATGCACGCCAACCGACCGCTCAGCAATAAGCGGCAGCATCCTGCTCAAGCTCGCCAACTCCTCCATGCACTCCTTGGCATCCTCTCCCCTCTCCCCCAGCCACCCCCAATTCGCAGCCATACACCTCAGTCCCTCCCAAGCCACAGCATCAATCAACACCCTCACCCGGTACTTCTCCACAAACAGCCGACTCCTCAACGACGCCACCTTCTGCTCCGTACCCAAGACGAATTCCCACGCCGCGCGCGGCAGGCGCACGAGACCGACATCGTTGGGCTCAAAGATTTTCAAGCGGCGCGCTTCCCGCACGCCCCCATCAAGCAGCGAGAATGCGAGCACGACGTCGCGACAGAGCGGGTTGATGAACGAGTAGCGAGGCGAGAGGCGGGCCTGGACGTATGGGAAGCGGGCGATGGTGTGGTGGAGGGAGTTCAGCAGGGAAGACGTCACGGCGACGACGGCGACGAGCTCCTCGACGACCTCGATGGGGGTGGGGCAGGGTGGAGAGGTAGTTGGTTATAGACATGACGAGCGCTGTGCCAGCCCTCGAGACGCAGGTGACTGTCAGAGGCCCTCGAGTGGGGAGGTCCATGGTGCCTGCGTATTATCCATCTTGTATAGTAAGGCTGGAAGGAGGTTTCAAATCAACCGACTCTTGAGAATGAGTGAGTGTCTCAAGTGCATGAGAGAAGAACTTCAAGCTAGAGAGACTCAGCAATATATGTGTGTGTATATATATATATACCCCGATCGAAAGAGAGCAAAAAGGATGACCAGGAGAAGAGCCTCCGCTCCGGTCCCTGATCTAGGTAGGTCATCCGGACGAGCGAGAATGCAGCTCACCGAGTAGGACATGAACGTAAAATGCAACATGGAATTTCAGGCCCCAGGCTGGCGTGAACGCCCTGCCGAAACACACGATGACTGAGAATCAACCTCTGGCTCTGTTGGGGGATAAGGCGCATGCAGCCTCGCGGCATGGGGGGAGTATTCGTGAGCCCAAAGCGTGCTGGCTGCAGGTAGGTATGCTCACACCTCACACTGCACTCACTGCACTGCATACTTGTGAGCAAGCTGTCGCCTTCCTGAGCCGGGAAGCCAAAAAGAGCAAGGAAAAAAGAAGAAAAAAACAACCCCCTCTTTCCTCCACCAACCTTCCCCCCTACCCCCCCCAAAAAA